GATTCACTTATGGGTGAGGCTCGTTCGAGCATGTGGAGAGCAGCCGTGAGCATGGCGGTGGTTGAGTTCTGGAGAATTCTGGCTCCGGGGCTGGCTCCATTGGGGCAGGGAGGGGCCTCAAGTCCCCCTCCCCCCGGGTTGCCCCCAAACTGAAACAGCCTGGCATGTGGTCTGTCTGCATGGCTATGGCATATTGTTCTGTGCTCTCTTCAGATCCCTGGTCTTTCTTGTAGGAACTGCATCTGAACTCCTCAATACATCATTTAGATCCTAGTTTCGCTGAACGGGGGAGGCAACTTCAGATCATAGAATTGACACAATATGGAACTCACTTAGATTTTGCACATTTTCCCTGGACGCTGTGTAGTGACCCTTGAGAGCTCACTCAACACTTTGGCCTTTCTTTTTTAGTGTGTGTGTGTGGGGGTGCTTTTTGGGTCACATCTGGCAATGCTCAGGGATTACTCCTGGATCTGCACTCAGGAATTACTCCTGGCAGTTCCTTAGGGACCATGTGGGATGCCAAGGATTGAACCCAGGTCGGCTGCATGCAAGGCAAATGCCCTACCTGCTGTACTACATCTCTGATCAGTCTTGCTCTTTGCATCACCTTTCTGGATAATTCTGCTGAGTTTCCTAGGAGACAACACTTTGAGCATTCCTATTCTTTCCATTTGTATAATGTTTAATTGAATTATATGATGAGATGATGACACAGACAAATATACCAGCCAACCCCCCAGCTCAATGAATAGACAGATCTGCTGGAGGCAGCTGGAAGTTGCTCTAATAGCTCACAGGCCTGCAAACTTGGGTTCCTTTTTGTGTATCTTATGGATCAAGAAGGACTTTACTGAAGGACAGGAGATGACACAGAAGGCACCTAGGTTCAATCCCCGGCACTCCACAGTTCCCCCAGCATCAGTCAGAGAGGTCCCCAGAGCACTGTCAGGATGGCCTGGATCATTCCTAGAAATTCAGGTCCCAAATAGCACCATATTCTGGGATTCTAGCACTATTGGCCTGGGTGGTCAAGACTCACTGGGAAACCCTTCCCCCAACCCCCACCTCCCAAGACCCCAGGCACCAGGTGGAGGGCAAATAAAGGTTCATTCTCTAGTAGTAGCACACCAGATTGGATGGGATGTAATGAAGAAGACAACCAATCTTGATTAACAAAATATAAACACAGAAGGTTTAACCTGTAGCAACATCTTAGTAATCTCTTATACAAGGGCTTAATGACTTCCAGGTTAAATGCCCCAATCCTCACCAATTTTCTTTTCTTCTAAGGAAACATTTTTGATCATTCTCTTAGCAAATTATTAATAATAATAATCAATATTGAATAAACTATTGAGGCCCTGCTAGGGAGGCAGGCTTAAGGGGTGGTTGGGAAAATTGGAGACAATGGTGGCAGGAAGGCGTCATGGTGGTGGGTGGTGGGAATGGTGTTGGAATAGCGAATACCTGTAACAAATCATCATGAACAACTTTGTAAACCATAGTGTTTATATAAAGTGTAAGGGGAAAATTGAAAAAAAATAATTTGAAAGAAAGTGTTCTTTTTTTTCTTCTTCTTCTTTGTGGGTCGTTTTCTCTATTGTTGTTTTGCGGCCTCACCCAGCTGTGCTCAGGGATTACTGCTGCCTCGGTGATCAGGGATCACTCATGGCTGTGACCAAGGCACTGTATGTGGTGCTGGGGACCGGGGTCAGATCTCCAACCCAAGAAGGGTTTGATAATGGCCGGTTCAAAAGAGTAGCCCCCAAAGTTACACTGGCAACCCCAGCACTCTGTGTGTTCCCCAGCCTGCGTGTGGCATCATGGTGAACCACAGGTGCGGGACAAGACTCTGGCCCTGAGAATTAGTGCTCGGGAGAAGAACTTTGGACACACTAAAGGCCGAGAGAGCTTCGTGAAGGATATGAGGGAAAGTGACCGCGAGAAGAAGGAAACCATGGAGAAAGGGACTCGGGTCTAAGTGCTCACCGCAGAGCAGTGCTTCTTGAGGAAGGGATGGGAGGAGCCTGAACTTCAGGAGCCCATCCCCTAGAAATCCATCAGAGGATATAGGTAGAATGCGCCAGAAGGCTCGGGGCTGGGGCTAAATGGAAGAGCTGGCTTTGCCTTTGTGAGTCACTGGGTTTGAGCCCCAGGATAGCCTGAAGAAAAAATATTTTAATTTTTTTATGGCTGGAATTCGATATGCCAGACACAGTAACAACAAAGTCTCCAATGGAGACGTTACTGGGCCCGCTCGAGCATGGCTGGAAAATTCAGGTGTGCTGTTTTCTGACCTGTGTAGCCTGTGAGACTCTAGGGTCCTTGACTAGTCAGCTGGGGCCCAAGTCTCTGCCCTCCCTGACGCTGAGGTGACCTGGCTAGGGCCCCTGAGAAAGAGGATCAAGGGAACCCCAGGGTCTGTGCCCTCTTTCCTTTGAGGACAAGTTGGAGGCAGGAGCTGGTTCCAAGGCTACAACAGCGACAATCCCGGGAGTTTCTTCCCTCACGGGTGTCAGCCTCCACTGCTCCCCACATCTCTCCCAGGGACAGATTCCTGTGTTGGCGATGGGGGGAGGCGGGGGAAGCTGAGTCCATTGACCCAGGGCTGAAACATCCCACTAGTCAATAAGTTAATAAGCTCTTCAGCCAGCGAGCAGGGCTCATTAAAGTCTCCTGGATCTGCCTGTAATTGGGGTGTGGAACATGAGACTGGGGTGGGAGGTGATGGATGGGGAGGGTTGCCAGGACATGGGCAGGGGTTCTCACCCCTGCTGAAGAAACGCTTCCATTCTGAGGAAAATGGGGAAATGAGGTTGTCCCCCACATCTGGGCCTGCCTCACCTCTGCCTTGGGCTTCAACACTGTTTTCCTTCCTGTGTCCTTGACCCCACATTCCCCAAGGCAGGAGGGCATCCCTTCTGGGCCCCTGGTGGCTCACAGCATACACACACACACACACACACACACCCTTCCAAGAGGGCATCCCCTCGGGCCTTGGTGGCTCACAGCACACACACACACACACACACACACACACACACACACACACACACACCCTTCCTGGATTCTCCCTGCCTCCTTTGTTTCATTTTCTTAGTTTTTGGGTCACTCCTGGCAAGTTGCTTGGGGACTAGATTGCTCTGCTGGGACTCCCCACATGAACACTCCTGGGTTCCTTGCTCCCTGTGGTCTGCTGACTTCTCACCTGGGCCCTGAACCCCAAGAATCCAGTTCCCCTAGGGCACCCAGGATGAGCCCTGGGCATCCCTTTATTTCCGCTCTCTCACAGCCTGGATTTCCGGCTCTGTGTTCTCGGAGCGCTCAGGGCTGCCTCTCAGCAGACTGACTGGGCCACCCCAAGCCCACGGCCCCACTTCTCCTGTGGGTTGGACGTCCTGAGGGCAGGCAGAACTGCTCAGCTGGGCCTCCAGAGTGGCATGTCCCTGTTTTCTTCCATGTCCCTGCTCAGCAGAGAGCCCTGGCCTCTCTTGGGAAGTGTGGGGACTGTGGGGCCCAGTGGGCTGATAAGGAACCATTTCCGGAGAGTGCAGGTGGTGGAACTCATAAAAACTGATTGAAGGATCCCTGGGCGCTGCCCCGCAGGAGCGCTCTGAAAATCACCATCTGTCCTGGCAGGGGGAGGGGGCGGCCTTTAGCGGGCCTGGAGGCCCCTCTGCGGAGGGGGTACTGTCCCAGGAGGTCCAACCAGGCCGTGCTCCCTCATCTCATGGGGGCCTGGGGCCCATCCTACCCCTGGGGGCCCGATATGGACTACCACACCCCTTCCTGTGCCTGACCCTGAGTCCCATGGTTCCCTCCAGGACTGAGAGAGCCTCTTCCTGAGGCTGCCTCCCTGTCCTTCCCTCCTTTGGATCCTGCGGTTCTTGGCTTGTGAAATGGGGAGGAAGCAGGCACCATGGGTCACATCGCCCAGTACCCAGCAGGTGCTTAATAATAAATTGTCTCCCTCATTCCTGCAAAGGTGCAGGAAGGGCTGGAGCGATAGTACTGCGGGTGGGGCGTGTGTCTTGCATGTGACTGACCTGGGTTCAGTCCCAGGCATCCCACATGGTCCCCCTTGCACTGCCAAGAGGATTCCTGAGTGCAGAGCCAAGAGTCACCCCTGAGCATTGCAGGTGTGACCCCAAAAGGCCAGTGGTGAGAATCCTGGCTGACCCTCTTGATGGTGGGAGGCTAGGGAAGCTGCACCTAGAGTCTGCCCCAGGACCCTAGAGGCAGAGCTCCCTCCACTGTCTCAGAACAGCAGGAGAGGGGTGGGATGGGCTCTGGAGAGGCGCCCTCTCAGGGGCCCCCCACTCTGAGTTAGCCACTGCCCCTCAGCTCCTGGGAGATGGAGACATCGCGCATTGCCTGGGTATAAACTCAACGATCTGGCGGGGGCGTGGAGGGAAGCAGGAGGAAGGGCCCTCGCGGCTCCTCTCCCCCGCCCCTCCCCGCCTGGAGGGATATAAACCCCACTGCGGGGCGCCCAGCAGAGGACCCACTGCAGCCCTTGGGACTCCTCTGACCCTCCGCCTCGCCTCCTGCTCGGCTCGACTTCCAGAACTGTCGCTGTGAGCGCCCCTACCCTAGAATGGCCCAGAACCGGGACCCTGGGCTATTTCGTGGGGAAACTGAGGCTGGGATGGTGGACACTGGGACTGTCGGGATACCAGCAGTGTGGGAAGGAGGCTGATGTGGGCGCCCCTTCCCCCATCCACCCATCTAACCGGCAGTGTGTGGGAGGGAGGGGGGCAAGGCCTATGACCACCCCACCCCTCGCCCCCGACGGCTGGGGAAACTGAGGCCAGAGGCTGTGTAGAGCCGGAGAGCTTCAAGCGAGCTGGTGGCTGCACCTGGCTCTGGTACCAGCCGCGACTGGCTGCCGCAGCGTGGACCCCACGGCAGTCTCAGCTTCCTTCCGTGGGGGGCACAGCTTGGGGGAGCGACTCTCGGGAAACCCATGCTCCACGCCCCCCCCCCCCCCCCCCCAGATGGTGACGGCGTGCAGGCTCTGGCCCGCCACGGCCCTGGTACTCCTGGCCTTGCTCGCATGCCTGGGGGCTCTGGCCGACGCCTACCCCGCCAAACCCGAGGCCCCGGGGGAGGATGCCTCGCCCGAGGAGCTCAGCCGCTACTACGCCTCCTTGCGTCACTACCTCAACCTGGTCACCCGGCAGCGGTGAGCGCAGGCGCGGACCTGGGGTGGAGCCAGGGCAAGGTTATGGGCAGGGGCACGAGGATGGGCGGGGCCAGGCCAGGGTGTGGGCGGGGCCAGGTCGAGAACGTGGGCGTGGCCCTTGGTGGGCGGGGCAAATCAAGCACGTGGGCGGGATCAGGAGGGTGGGTGTGTCTCCGGGGCTCCGCCCCAATCACCTAGCGTGTGCCCCTTTGACGCCCTTCCTCCACCCTCTCCAGGTACGGGAAACGCGACAGCCCAGAAGTGCTTCTGTCCAAACTGCTCTTCTCGGACGGCGAGGACCCCATCAAGTCGCGGTAAAGGGATCCCCTCAGTTCATACCTGTCCCCTGCAGCTTGACCTGCCCCTGCCGCAGTCGGTCGGAGCTGCGCATCCTGGCACCCGGCGGGCACCTGATACTTTCCCCCCAACCTTCTTACTCGGATTCTCCTGACGCCTGTTCTTCGTCTTGCAGACCAGAAGGCCCCTCCATGTGGTGACGCGAACCGAGATCACAGGGAGATATGCCCAATCCGCGCCCTGGTCCGCTCCCCAGAACCGGATCCCTCTTCCCACCCGTCTGAGCTGCGGAGGGTTGGAGGTGTGGTCCTCACCCCATTTCTTCATGCCCCAGCCCTGCACGGGGCGGCTGTGTTCCAACCTCCCCTCATGCCCGAATAAAGAGCAGATTTCACTGGAACTGTGTGAGCATCGCTGTCTCCTTCCCCTTCTTAGTGGGCCTGGTCCAGGAGCCAATAGAGGCGGGAAGGGAAAGAAGACTTAAATCACACACTTATCGGGATATGACCTTGGGAGTGACCCAACCCGCAGGAGAACTACTCTCCGGTCTCTTGTGGGTTGGGTCACTCCCAAGGTCACTTGAGAGTGACCCTAGGACCTGAAAATGGGGAAAAGGGAGGGAGGATGTTGAGCAAGAGGCAAGCTTCTGAGAAGCGTCCAGACGAGCCCTGGGCTGTCACCGAAGTGGGGAAGGAGGCAGCAGGATAGGCAAGGAGGGTCGATGGGGACAGAGTGGGTCAAGCCAAAGAACGAAGATGGTTGGCGGGCACTGGCTTCACCCAGCCTCCTCCCCAACTCCACTCATTCCAGTGTGGGGAGGACCAGTTGAATTTGGGGTCCAGGGAGGAGGAAGAAAAAGGCCATTCTAACAGCCCTGTCCCTGGGAGGAGCTGTCTCCAGCTTCCCCTTCCCTGAGCTCACATGCTGTGCAGTCGATCAAGGTGCCTCCCTGGTGACAAGGGCATGGGACAACCAGGTCCTCTTCCTTGACCACCGCTTTTCTCTGACTACACTGAAGCTTGAATGCACTGTGGGTCTGGAGTGAGCTGAATCCTGCCCCCATCTATACCCTAACCACAAGGCAGCTGGAATCTGCAGTTTCACATCTGCCACACACCCTCCCTTCCCAGACCCTTTCCTCCAGGAAGCCTGCCTAGATTGTACCGGCTCTGCACTCTGCCTGCTTCCTCTGACCACTGCTCTGTCCATGTCTCCACGTCCTGTTTCTCTTCCAGGTCTGGGGGCTGCCTAAAGGCTCTCTGTCTTCTCCCCTCACAGCCTTCTTTCTCGTGGGGTGTCTCGGGTCTCTCTTTCAGTACTACCAAGTCCTGGCTGGGAAGCTGTGGGTTGGAGGAGGAAAGAGGTTGAGATCCCAGATCCCAGATCCCAGGAGAGGGGGAGAAGCGTCTCTGAGCCAGGGTGTCCCAGCCGCGGGCACCAGGAGCTCCTGTGCACACAGCAGGACCAAGCTCATTGTCTCACACTCGCCCGGCTGCTTTTCAGCCACTGTGGGTGGGGTTGGGGGTCCCACAGGACTGCTCAGAGTCTTGTGGTTCTGGGAAGAGAGCACTGAGAGCCGTGGAGTGCAGGTCCCCCGCGGAACAAGCTGTCTGGAGGTGGCACAAGGCTCAGACTCTATCTTGCCCTCTGCCCTGCAGCTTCCCTGAAGTAGGGTTGCAGTGGGAGGGGCAGCAGGTCCAGGGACTGGTGGCAGCTTCATGGACTCTGGAGCTTTCAGCCTGGTCACTCCTGTTGCCAGCAAAGCCCTTTCCCTCTCTTCCGCTAGGGCCATTATCAGGAAATGATCACCTCCCCCTGGAGGCCTTTCCTGATTTCTCCATGTAGAGTTTGTTTCTCTGGTTCCTTTTCCGTTTTGTGTGGCCATGATCTGAAGCCCAGTTCCAGCCCATTTGGCCCTCTCTCTTCCCTTTCAATTCCAGGGAGGGGAATTGTGCACACAACAGCTGCCAGAGCTTCAGTTCATCCTAATCCAGAGGAGTCAGAGGGGATGTGTGTTTGTATGTGTGGAGGAGGGAAGGGTGTGCGCATGCGCTCTGGGGTCTGGGGCGCTCTATTGGGTGTGGTCAGTACGAGGCTGATGGGAGAGAGCGCTGGTGTTCACTAACAACCACACACAGCCTCTGCTCATCTTGGCATGTCTCTGTGGTCTCAGGGAGAGCACCTCTGGGCAGGTAGCCCACAACGGGACAGCGGCCTCAGGAACAAAGGTTGGGATTTGGGTTCTGGGGAGATAGCTCAAAGGACAGGGGCACATTCTTTTCTTGCCGGAGCCCCGTGTCTGCTCCTGGGCACCGCATGGTCCAGCATACACCGCTCCGCAAAGCACCGAGCCCAGAGCAGTCCCTGAGTATCACTGGATGTGGTCCCCAAAACCCAACCAACAGAACAAAGACAAAATTCAAAACTGAGATCTGGGTCCCATCTCAGCTCTTAAATGACAGTATGACTTTGCCCTGGTCACTTCATTTCACTGCATTTATTTCTTGCTGGCCAAATAGAATACTGACATCTTAAATAGTCTCAATAGGGGCCTGAGAGATTGGACAGTGGGTAAGGCACTGACCTTGTATGCAGCTGTCCTAAGTTTTATCTATCCCCAGCACACATATTCTCCCAGACTTTGCCAGGAATGATTCCTGAGTACTGAGCCAGGAGTAAGACTTGAACACTGATGGGTGTGACCCCCTTAAACAAAACCAATAACAAATAAAAATAGTAACAGTGGGCGTTTCTTTAAGTCTCAGCAAGATCATGTGGGTTATGGAAGGTCACACAACCCATGTGTGATGCAGAGTGGGGGGAGCGGGTGGCACCCAGGAACCCCACTTGATCCTGGACCCTCCCACACTCAAGCTCCCAGTACCACTGGGATTTAAGAAAAACCAAAAGCGATGGAACAGAACCCCACTTTCCATTTCGTCCCTTCAGGCATCCCACAGGGTTGTGTATAAGGAGCATTAATGATGCTTATCTTTTTTGTTTTAGTTTTTTTTGTTGTTTGTTTTTGGGGGCCAATGCTCAGGGTTACTCCTGACTTTGCACTCAGGAATCACTCCTGGCGGTGCTCAGGGTACCATATGGGATGCTGGAGGTCAAATCCAGGTTGATCACATGCAAGGCAAGCACCCTTCCTGCTGTGCTATCGCTCCGGCCCTTGTGATGCTTAATGATACCCCCTCTTCTTTAACTCCACATCTAGGACCCCTTCATACTCATCAAAAAACAGTGCCCACCGCCCATGGACCCTCCTTCACATGGTAGTCCTGCCATGGTTCCCTTTCTCCCATTCCTGCCCCCCTTCCCATCCCCCTCCTCTTTGGTTTCAGTTACCTGGTTCACTGTAATCTGAAAATCTTTCCTACAATAAGATTCTTTTGTGGGGTGGGGCAAACCCGGCACTGCTCAGTGCTTACCCCTGGCTCTGTGCTCAGGAATCAATCCTCAAAGGCTCGGGAAACCACCTGGGATGCTGGGGAGATCAAACCGGGATTGGTGGAGTGCAGGGCAAACACCCTTCCATCTGTACTATCTCTTCGGCTCTTCCTACAATAAGATCTTTCGAGAAAGAGAGAGCCCATATTCTGACAGCATTTACTACCATGATATTCTAAAGGCTCCACACTGAGTTATTGTCATTATATCTTTTGGGGGAGGGGTCTGGTCTTCCCCAGCATTTCCAGGGGCCTCTATCGATGATATTCAGTGAAAAGGTGCTACTCAAGCTTGGTAGTGATGGGGGGCCCCCAGAGATAAACCCACAGTGCTGAGGGGACTGCATGGTGCTGGGAATGGAGTCTGAATACCCTACAGCCCCCTCCACTCTGACTTCTCTCCACATACCCCCGCCCAAGGGACCTACATTAAGTGTTCCTCTTTTCCTTCAGGATCAGTATGGAAGGATGAAGCTACGGCAGCCACCTCTGATGCAGAGTGCAGGGGCCCTTGAAGCCCCATATGTGGGGGCCCCTCTCCCCCTTCACCCTTGACCTTGGGAGTTTCTGTGGTGCTATCTCATGATCATTACCTCACCCTAACACTGCCCTAATTTCTACTTTGGACAAACTTGCAGGCTATCGAATGTAGCCTGCCCACAGGGCAGAGTCTGGCAAACTCCCCGTGGTGTACCCAATATGCCAAATACCAGTAACAATGATGGGTCTCATTCTCCTAAAGAGCCTTGAATATAATCTCAGGGCTAGGATGAAAGAGACGTTACTGGGGCCTGCTCGAGGCAATCGACGAATAACAGGATGATGAATGAATGAATGAATGAATGAACACTGCCCGAAGGCCACTCGCCCTGGCCCAGAGCACACGGAGACAGGCAGGGGTGGAGGGACCCCATCAGTTCCCTTGCATCCGTCTGGGCATGACCATGTGGCTCAGAAAGTGCATCCGCTCCCTTCGCCCCCTCCGCGCCTAGAGCATCCCGGACAGCACCCATGGAGGAAGCTGCTGTTTGCAGAGAAGAAAAATGACAGCAACGTTCCGTTGACATTTGCGATGTACATGCTATTCCTTAAGCAGAGAAAAGGCTGTTTACCTCTGTGACCAAACTATAAATGGCCTCGGCACTTGAGTCAGTGTCCGGGGAGCCACCATCTGTCTGTGTGCTGACGTGGGTAGGGGACAGAGACCTGCCTCCCAGGCAGGAGAGACCCAGACCCTGGAGTGGGGCTGAAACCTGCGCCCCCTGGTGGCAGACTGCGGCCTTTGCCTTTCTCACTGGTCGCTCCCCCTTTCCCCTTTCTCCTCTCCAGTCTTCGCCCCCCTACGCGCCCCCCCTGCAACCTCCACGCCCACCACCACCACCACCACACGCCACTAACTCACCGAGGACTCGGACAATGAGTAAGGCACTGATCTCGTATGCTGCTGTCCCAGGTTTTATTCCCAGCACACATATTCTCCCAAACTTTGCCAGGAATGATTCCCGAGCACTGAGCCAGGAGTAAGCCTTGAACACTGATGTATGTGACCCCCCAAAACAAAACTCATTTTGCCAAGACAGACCTCCTCCAAATACATTGGTTTTTGGGCCAGGCTTACTCCTGGCAGGCTCTGAGGACCATATGGGATGCTGAGGATCAAACCCAGATCAGCCGCACGCAAGGCAAGAGCCCTCTCCACTGAACTATCACTCCAGTCCCACCTCCTCCATATTTGTTTGGAGTGGGGTGACATTATTGTCCCTTCTGGCTACCAGAATTAACAATCGAGAGGAGCCAGGTAGAATGTGTCTCGTCCTTCTGCTTCGGGCAGGGTGGACAATGTTGGGATGCTCTTCCCAGCTCTGCTCAAGGGTCAATGCAGTGCCAGCAATGAATCTGAATTTTTTTTCCTTTTTGGGTCACACCCAGCGATGCTCAGAGGTCACTCCTGGCTCTGCACTCAGGAATTACTCCTGGCGGTGCTTGGGGGACCATATGGGATGCCAGGGATCGAACCCGGGTCGGCCGCTTGCAAGGCAAATGCCTTACCCGCTGTGCTATCACTCCGGCCCCTGAACCTGAATTTTCTGTGTGCAAAGCATCACTTCGCCCTAGAACTATTTCTCCAACCCTAAGCCTTCCTTTGTCTGCACTATCTTGAAAATTAAAGGCTGAGAAGCTAAAGGAATTGTCCCAGGCTCACACAGCTTAGCCAGTGGCTGCTCTTGAACTTGAGGTCCCCATGTCAGTTTCCCATTTCTTTTTCTTTCGTTTTCTTTTTCCCTTGTTTCTTTTTTTTTTCTTTTTGGGTCACATCCACAATGTTCAGGGGTTACTCCTGGCTCTGCACTCAGGAATTATTGCTGGCAGTGCTCAGGAGACTGCATGAGATGCCAGGGATTGAACCCATGTCGGCCTTTTGCAAGCCAAACACCCTACCCACTATACTATCACTCCATGTCAGTTTGTGAGGGCATCACCCACAGCACGCATGCACGCATGCACACACACACACACACACACACACACACACACACACACACACACCTGCCCACCACACATTTTGTGTCCTGATCTTTTTCTGCAGAGATTCAGGGCGACTTTGCTCTCGGGCACCAATGCACATTTCTTTAGCCTCAATTACTGCTCTTGCACTGGGGGTGAGGGGGTGCAGGAGGCTGAGTACCGTGACGCAGAAGCCCCTGGCCAGGAGGAGGATCAGCAGGGATCCCGACCGCGGATAAGGCCAGCACTGAGCCCAAGAGATGAAGGTGTCCTGATCTCTGTCTGAGCCTCCCCTTTCTCAGCAGAGGTTCTGCAAACACACTGACAGCGTCCCTCAGGGAAAGCCTGGGTTCTGCGTCCGACTGTCTGACTGTCAGCTCCTGCCGCCGACTGGTGATGTGCGACAGGTTTTCAGTATCTTCAAGCCTCAGTTTGAAGCCTATAAAATGGGCTGCTTTGGGGTCTTGGGAAGGCTACTGGGATGGAAGACTCTGGAAAATTCAAGTCTTTCCTGGGATGCCTTCTCTGACCTCTGGGCTTCTGGGAAACCGTTACTAGAAATGGGCTCAGCTGCTCCCTGTAACCCCTCATCCATTCTCACTGTGCACCCCCCGCCCTCGCCAAAGGGCTTCCCGGCTTTCCTGAGGCCTGGACCCTCTTCCCCTTGTCTTCTTACTACATACTGGAAAAAGCATCCTGATTCTCCTATAATCTGGGTGAACTCCAGGAGGCCTGCGACAAGAGGGCCCCAAGCGCAGTGGGGGGTCAGGGATGGGGCCCCCAGGGGACTTTGACGTGGTTCACTCTTATCCCTTAGGCCACCAGCACCCACATGACTGCCCTGGCCCCCTCCTGTCCCTGGCCCCCAGCAGTGCCACTGCGGGTACCAGGGAGACGGTTGGGGGGGCGGAGGATTGGGGAGTGAGCATGGCTTGCTGGAGGCAGGACTCAGGTGGGGGGGCTGAGGACTATAAAAGGGTGCAGCTGAGGACAGGGGACCAATCCAGCGTCGGCAGGAGCCCACTTGGTTCAGTGCCCGCCCGCTCACTCAGGACTCAGGGTAAGTGGGCTCAGCGTGCCCCAGATCCAGGGAGGCACCTTGGGACTTGGGGCTGAGATGGGGGTGATGATTTGTAAGGACCTGGTTGGCCTGAGTCCTGCGTGGTCCTGGCTCAAGATCTGGATGAGGGCCTGGAGCAATAGTCCAGTGGGGAGGGCATTTGCCTTGCATGCAACTGAGCTGGGTTCAATCCCCCAAAGCCCATATGGTCCCTCAAGCATCGCTAGGAGTAATTCTTGAGTGCAGAGCTAGGAGTGACCCCTGATCATGGCTGGGTGTGACGCCCCCCCCCAAATGTAGACAATCTGTCACTGGGCTAACTGGAAGCAGCCATTCACAGGCTAACTGAAAGTGGGATTGCGGGTTGGAGGCTTGAACAGAAGGTGGGGTACAGCGATCCCTGTGAGGTGCAGGACCCCGCTGCCTGGCTCTGCAGGGCCAGCCTGTCCTGGGTCGCAGGTGGCACCTGTGAATTTCTGTCCTCAGGTTCACAGGCTCATTCTGTGTACCCCACCCTGTAGGGGCTTGTACCCCCATCTCTCCTCGCGGTCACTGGGTCTTGGATGCTGCGAGCCCTGCATGTGTGCCATGCTCCACTTCCTCTGTGACACTTTCCACCCTCTGAGTCCCCGGCTCAGCTTTGGGCTCAGGCAGTGACACGGATCAAGGTGCCAGATCCCAGAGCCCAGGCTTGGGGCCATGGGGGAGTGTGTGGGGAGGTGGGGGTTGTCTCCCCAACATGGTCTTCTCCCCTGCTCTGTCCCCAGATGGCTGCCGTGCCCCGCTGCCTGGCGCTGCTGCTCCTGTCTGCCTGCCTGGCCCTGATGCTGCAGCCCCCGCGGGCTGCCAGGGGGTCCCCGCTGGAGCCTGCCTACCCGGGCGACAACGCCACCCCAGAGCAGATGGCCCACTACGCCGCCGAGCTCCGCAGATACATCAACATGGTGTCCAGGCCGAGGTGTGTTTGTGTGTGCCTGGCCCGGGCAGGAGTGGGTGGCGGCGCTGGGTAGCCGGGGGTGGGAGCCAGCTGGGACACGAGGCCCCAGCTCCTCTCTTGTCCCCCAGGTACGGGAAAAGAGAGCAGGATGACTCGGTGAACTTCTGGGAGTGGGGCTCCCCGCACGCAGCTGCTCCCAGGGAGCCCACCCCCATGGACCTGTAGTGCTGGCCCTCTGGCCGCCCCCTTAGCCCCTCTGCTCGCTCTCACATGCACAATAAAAGCAAATGAAAGGCACACTACTGCTCCTGAGTCTCTCTGTGCGTGCCTAGGGGTGGCCGGGAGGGGCAGAGTATGGGAAGCGACCAGAAAGTGGTGGGTTCAGCTCCACTGTCCCAAAGGGAGGCGGGGACTCCCTCCCCCGTGGTGATCCGATAGCTCCTGTGAGTCGCTCTCGCTCTCAGAGGTTTTGATTTTCTCTGATTTCACAGCACTAGGGCCACCCTATCTCAGGCAGGCAAGTCATGTCCTTCACCATGGAGTCACATCCCTGGCCCCAAATCATTCCCCTTTGTGCTTCTAGCATCACAAGGTAGCACCCCTCACTGTATGCCTCCCGCACCCCTCTGGGGCTTCTTACCACCCAGAGAAACAGAGTCATGAGGGCTGGGGTGGGGCAGGGGCGATCAAGGCAGTCAGAGATTCTTGCTGCTTTGGGGTTGGAGGGATAGTACAGTGAGTGGGTAAAGCATTTGCCCTACACGTAGCAAATGCTTAGACCTGGGTTCGACCCCTGGCATTCTATATAGTCCCCCAACCCTGCAGAGCCAGGAGTACCCATGAGCATTGCCAGGTGTGACCCCCCAAAAAAAAACTAAAAAGGAAAAAAATGTTCCTGTGTTGAGGTCAGTGGAAGGCCAGTTCCTGGGGGGCACAGCAGTAGGAGTGGGCGCTGGAGGAGGCCCCTGGAGATGGTGCTGTGGGCAGACAGCTGGCAAGGGGCCAAGGGGAGCTGAGTGGGAGCAGACCCCGGAATGGGAAGGTTCTGGAGGCTGGAGCCAGAGTGGACAGGCAGAGGGAGGAAAATTTTTTTTGGGGGGGGTTCACACCCGGTGATACTCAGGGGTTACTCCTGGCTCTGCACTCAGGAATTACTCCTGGTGGTACTCGGGGGACCATCTGGGATGCTGGGAATCGAACCCGGGTTAGCTGCATACAAGGCAAACGCCCTACCCACTGTGCTATCGTTCCATATCAAATGGGTTCGAATCCAGGAGCTGCCCCCTTCTGCCCCTGTGCTTGGGGGCAGGGGTGTCACAAGTCTCAGAGTCCTGATGGACAAAACAGGAAGAATTGTTGTCCTCAGCTTCATACAGAGGTGGTGAGGTCCACAGGGGGGAAGCAGGTACTGCGTGACCCGGGCACAGGGAGCACTGGGGTGGACACTCAGGCTCAGGAGGGAGCCCTGGCCGAGCAGCTGGGCCGTGAACTTCCCTGCTACGGGACAAGGTTACAGGAGAAAGGACAGGCATCTGGTGGTGGTGGTAGGGGGGTGTTCTGGAAAGGAGACTTCGGGGTACTCTAAGGGGGCACCTTTGAAGAACAGGGACTTGTAGAGAACTTGGCCCTAGGAATGGTGAAGGCACGATGCCTCAGGTAGGAGGCTGGCGAAGCCGATTCCAGCCCATCTGCGGTTCCACCATCCAGCTAGGACCCAGCTCTGACCCCGAGGTGTCCTGGGCACCTTTGGACTAATCTTATTCTGTTCTTTTAATTACCATCCTCCCCCCACTGCAGGGCCCCTTCCTCCCTGTAGCACAGTGAGATCTTGACCTGTTCTGTTACCTGTAGCACAAACATCTCGTACTCATTGGTACTCATTAGTGACTGGTAAACTGACAATTGCATGGAGACAGGTCTTCGTCCAGGGCCCTGGGAATGCCATGCCAGCAACCCGGACACTCAATGATGACATACTATGAAGCCGAAGCCCAAGTGTGTTATGGACACCCCCAGATTCCTTGAGACTCTCAATCCCCTCCCTCTGGTTGGTGCCGGGGATTGAACCCAGGGCCTCACACTTGCAAGGCAAGGCCTCTACCTCTAAGCCACACTTAGGCCTCCATCAACCCTCTCCAGACTCTCTTTCCCTCCCCCAGCCCTCAAGCCAGGGACAGAAATCCTGGTAGTTTTGCTGGTGTCAGACTGGTAGTGGAGGGCGCCTGGCCTCTGTCCTTCATGCCCTTCATGCCCTCCTAGTCTCCAGCCTGAGGCAACAGGGGGCCCAGATATGGCCCTAGACATTACCGTGGTGCTGGGCAGGTTGAGAGTGTCCCCGTAAAAGGGGTGTCCAGACTCTTTATACTCCTTAGACCCCCGGCCCTGGACCTTCCCCCCAAAGACTCCAGCCTAGCGTGGCCTTCCTCGACTGCCCTGTTCTGTTGGCGCAAGGGAACAGGGAGTGGTTGTGGGTGGGAGCACATGGGCAGCTAGCTTTCCTGTCCAGGGCACATTCCCTGGGTGGGGAGCCCCGAGGGAAACGCCAGAGGCAGCAGGGCATCAGTCTGACTACTTGAGTCCTGAACTTGACGTGGTCTCTGACTGGCTGTGTGTCTCTGGGCAAGTTACTTTGCTTCTCTGAACACAGCATCCTGGGTTCTGGGAAATAAACCCTAGAGTGAGGTCCTGGGCTGTGTGTGTGTGTGTGTGTGTGTGTGTGTGTGTGTGTGGTGTGTGTGTGTGTGTTGGGGAAGTGGTCAGTGCCTGGGCAAAGCTGACAGAAGGAGCCAAATATTTTTTTGGTTTTTTTTTGGTTTGTTTTTAATTTTTGTTTTTGGGCTACTTCTGGCAATGCTTAGGATTTACTCCTAGTTCTGTGCTCAGGGATCACTCCTGGCAGGCTCGGAGGACCAAAGGGGACACTGGAGCTAGACTCCAGATCAGTCATGTGCAAGGCAAATGCCCTACCCACTGTACTGTCACTTTCTTCCCTGGGACCTCAAGTTCTTGGCCCCAGAGTCCTGCTTGAATTCTGTGAGTCGCCCCACGACCTTCTGAAAAGTCCTCTCTTTGGCTGAGCTGGCTAGAGTTGGCCTTTTGTTTGCTCCTAAACCATAAACAAGTCAATGGGAGCTGGTGGACTCAAACCTCCTTCCCCTCACTTCCTGCGTTGAGTAGTTGAGTCGGGAGTGTTTGGATAAAGGCCCTCCTGCACCACACTGAAGCCTATTGTATTAAATATCAAAAACCCAACATTGGGGTTGGAGTGATAGCACAGCGGGTAGGGCATTTGCTTTGCATGCGGCCAACACGGGTTCAATTCCCAGCATCTCATATGGTCCCCTGAGCACCACCAGGAGTAATTCCTGAGTACAAAGCCAGGAGTAACCCCTGTGCATCGCCGGGTGTGACCCAAAAAGCAAAACAACAACAAAAAAAAAACAAACAAACAACAACAACAAAAACCCTAAACTAAAACAAAACTTGACATTATAGATGACCAATTTGCACCCATAAAAACTACCAATTTTTGTGTATTTGACCAGTGTATGTCCCCCAGTGGTGAAGGCAGAGCACATTTCTGCATTACCCTCCCCCCCGGGCCCCCTGCCCCCTGCACCGAGCAGTGCCCACCCCCCCATGCCCCTTGCAGTTCTGACCCCAGGCGACTGTCCACCCCATTCATGACTCGATGAATTTGGTGGGAACTTGAAAGAGGCAGCACACTGGGTCTCTTTGTTTCTGCTTTCCCTGTGCTGAAAGCTTTGACATTTCTCCAAATGACCAGACCTTTGGGTCATTTGTTCCTTTCATGGCCAAAGATGACTGTCCTTTGCTGGCCTGGGTCCTTACTGGCTTCTGTCCCTCTTGCTGGACATCTGGTTTCCGCTAGTCTTTTTGGCCACTTCTCCTGCCCGTGGGCTGCTTCTTCTCTCGTGGGATCCGTCTGACCCTCCCTCTTTCCCCTCCCAGCACTTCCTGCCTTTCCTTTTGCCTTTGCTTCTTTCTAGAACAAATTGCTCTTCCTGGCAGAATCCTTGGAGGATGCAGTTCAGAAGCCGCCCTGTCCCCTCCCTGCCCTGCCCTGGGGCTCTCAGGGTGTCTTGGTGGCTGTGGGGATGTGGGTGAGGTTTGTTGCCCCCAGTGGTTCTCCAGGAGAGGAAGCCACGCCTCGATGGCCCCATGGCTCATAGATGCTGCCCACTGGGAACTGGACGGATGCTATGCCCTCGGAGTGAACACATGACAAATACTTCCTTTGTCCTACAGACCGTCCCCATGGTGCTTGGGGGACAACACGGTGCCGGGGATCAGACTTGGGGCCTCCCTGCCTGAGCTACATCCCCAGGCCCATTTCCCATCTCTCCTGAGAAACAGAATCCAGAGTGAGGGCCTAGATTTCACTTCCTGGCATCTTCTGAGGCAGGAACAGAACTGCTAGAGTGGGGCCAGGGTGATCAGAGAGCCTTCGAGACCCCCGCAAGAGAGTCTGGAGTTTTCTTTTTTCTTTTTTGGCTCTGGGGCCACACCTGAAAAAAGCATTTGTGTTGGATCCCAAGCATATTGGACAGCGGCTGGAGCAATAGTACAGTGGGTAGGGCGCATGCCTTGTACGTGGCTGACCAGGTTTGATCTGGCATCCCATATAGTCCCATGAGCACCACCAGGTGTAATTCTTGAGTACAAAGCAGAGAGTAACCCCATAATATCACCAGGTGTGTGTCTTCCCCCCTCCCCAAAATAAAACAACACCCAAAGCAGAGTGGACAGGGGTGCAGGTATTCACAAAATCTCTCCTGTCTTAGCAAAAGGAAGCAGTCTGGAAATTTCCAGAGTGGGACCCATCAGAGGCCTTGCTTTCAACTCCTGGAGTCACTTGATATTGATTCCACAGTACTGATTGAGCCCTGCTTCTCCCTGACAGGCTAGAGATCGAACCCACACTTCCCACCTGCAAAGTAGGTGCTTTAGTCCTTTGAGCCTGTGCCCTGGCACCAAAGAAGGTTTTTTATTGGTGGTTGTTTGTTGGATTTTTTTTTTTGAGTCTTATTTTTGAGCAGGATGGAAAGTTGTCTCCTGGGAGACAGACATACTGGTATCAATTCCTCAGCCCCATCCTCCCATTTTGCAGATGAGAAAACTAAGGGCAAACATGCATGTGGTCTGTCCTGGAGGCCTGAAATGCAGGAGGAGGTGCTTGTGCCCAGGCATTGCTGCTAGCTGCTCATGAG